ACCACAGCCATTGACGCGGATACACACATGCATGTGGGGCTGACAGAAACATGATATTACCCCTGTAGAGCCCCAGATTAGGCCCAGGAGACAGGCTACGTATGGGCTTACATGTTATTGTACACACCAGCACGCCAACACGCACGCACGCACGCACGCACACACACACACACACACACACAGGTCAGACAGTTCAAATATCCGACTTGCCTGACCTCAGACGTTTATTTTTGCATGACGCTCTGGCAGGCACAAAGTCAAGCGCCGGTAGATGAGTAGCAAAGACAAATGTGTGAACATGACGACACCCATGTATGCATACACACATGGGCTGATACACAAGACCACACACATTCATGCAACACACACACACGGAGGGACGTGAGCAAAGGTTGGTGTTTGTTCCTTCGCTCATACACATTGAGAGACAGAGATCCCCCCAGTCTTATGATTAGTGGTGAGAAAGCGTTGCAGGCCTGCAGGTTTTTATTCCCCATACTACTGTTGCTGGCGCTGTCTGCTGTGGTAAATAACTGTAGAGTCAAACACCTGCACTTTCTGACGGTGCACAAAAAAATTAGACAATGCACAACTTTGTTATAGAAGAGCCGTGTTTTATATCCTGCTGTGGTTTACTGTGACCCAGCTGCCTCAGTGGGAAAACCTCAACACACCTGTTTATTATTCTGTATAAACACTGTCATTCACATAGGTGTTTACATCCACAAGATGAGGTTTTATAGGAGCGGGCATGGAACAGTGTTTTGGGGAAATGCTACACAAGTCTGGCTTGTGAGCATTTAGCAGCTCATAAACCAATTTTCTATTATTCAACTGATTAAAACCAGGTCCAACTGTTTGTGCTACATTTACAATTCCTTACAACTTTTCTACTAATTTAGTTATATGCCATAATTCCACTTTATAAAATGTTTATATTATAGTATTAATATTTTTGCATTGCTTCAAGTTTTAGCAACAAGATTCTTTTTGCTCATGAAAAGCCATCCTTGTACAGTTTCATGGTTTGAGCCTGCCCCCTATTGATACAAATTATTAATTGAAGCAAAAGGGCTTCCAAACATAAGGCCATGAGGACAAAGTTCACTTCAAATCTAATAATGATTAATGAATCTGCACAAAGCCAGTTCTTAAAAGTATACGAATTAAATGAAGTTAAGTTTGACACAGTTTGACAGCTCAAATAACAGAAATCAGTAAGCTTTAAAGAACTGGATGTCACCATGAGAGGCTGAAGTGTCTTGAAATGGTGCCTATAGCAGGAGAATCGACATTCTTAAAAGACCTTTATCTTATCATCTTATCAACACGTTTGTGTACTCACTCTGGTCTGTAGACGGGCAGCCAATAGACGAGCCTCCCACCCACAACCAGGTGGTGGGCAGAGAAGTTCAACAGATCTGTGAAGATGTCACTGAGGTGGTACGCCTGTGAGACCGGCACGTGAGACTCCAGGTAGCTGGAAGAATCACATTAACACAAACAGGTTTAGACCAGAGCAACAGACATAACACGTAACGTGACAAAATGATTTTCTTTCCACCTGTGCTGTAGTATATAAGCTTATATGGTATCCGTCTTACTTACATGCCGTCAGCGTGTTTGGTGACATCTTTGTGGGAGCCTGTTCTCCTCGTGGATTCTCGGATCCCGTACGGCGCTGAAGGTCCACACAAAAACCACAAAAAAGTGGGGGGAAAAAGGATAACGATAATTAGACTGCAGATGTAGCTGCAACACAAAGTGTGCTGCCTCTGTGTAAAAGACTTTGATGACAAGTTTTCATACTCAGAATGGCCAAAGTGTCAAGAGGGATCTGTTGGGAATAAACCTACGATCAGTAATGATGGCATCAAACAGAGGTGCCTCCCTCCACACAGGCTTGGATGCATCAGATATCATCACATCTATGTACATCTCCTCTGTTCCATACTGCCGCAGGTTGGCTCTGATATTCTCATCCGGTCCTCGCCACTTCTGGTTTTTACGGCTTGAGCGACCTGAGAGACAACAGCGCTTTAGGACATTTAAATAGTGTCTAAAAATTCAGAGCAGGCTCCCGACACGGTTGGTTCTGAACACAGCCGTGACTAGAAACAATATTTGTAAGCTTGGATAAACATAGAGGTTAAGTGTAAACTTAAATAGGAAAAACTTACCTCTGCCATGAATAGTGTTGTAATCGATATCCGTTCCACAGACGTAGGCTCTAAAATGAGAACATGCTACCAACAGGCTCCCTGAAACAGATCAAGAGACAAAGACCCGTTAATGTGTGACTCCCTCTGCTATAACTATGGATGTGAGTGAGAGTCGGTGCCCGGATTATCTCACCTGTGCCAACAAACGGGTCAAAAACAAGGTCATTCTCATTGACCTTGGCGTGGTTGGCCATAATAAATGAGAGCCCAGCATCCATACTAGTGTTCCCTATGAAGTGTCTGTTCTTCACACTGTGAGAGCGGATCAGTTCACGTTGTCCATCTGCTATCTGGTGCAGGAGAGAGCGTAGATGAAAAGTGTTGAGTTTCAGATAACCTCTTGTTTTTTGAAATGTAAACAAAAGGTCAAACGTGTCGCACCCATCGGCCGAAATAGATGTAGTTTGGATGTTCAGGGATGTCGTTGGGGTCTGTGCCGTAATCCTCCAACAAACAGAAGATGTGCTGAGGGCTCTTTAGGCTCACTGTTCCTTCAAACGGAAGATAATCCATAGCCTGGTGAGAGGATTGGGATCGGTCAAAGATGCAGTCACACAGTTCAACGTTTTCACACGCGCTCATTTATTCATTGATCTGCTTTCTGCTCACATCAATCCTTTTGATTCTGTCAGGGAACTCCAGAGTCTTGTTGAAAGTGTAGACATTGATTCTGTAAGTTGAGTCTTTGTGCATGAATGGTGACTGGCGAGGAAGAGCAGACAGAAATTAGAAAAACAAGCCTGGAAAATACTTTCTAGAATAGCACCGGTTTGTTAGTCCAACACAATGGGACGATAAACGGTAGCACCACAAACCATGTTCTCTGATGGGTAGTTCAAGAGGGATGTTCTGAGTTCACTGTGTGTTTGTCCATGGCCCCAAAGTTCAAAAGCAGACCTGCGTGGTTAGGGCAACATTAACTATAGCATCATCTCAGAAACATTTATTTGCCAGGTATGTTGGACACACAAGGAAATTGTCATGGTGGGTGGTGCATACATGGACAATTAAATTAACAGTAGAATAAATATAATGTGCACAGGTAAACAGATAGCTATATTTTACACGACGTATTTGAAATTACCAAAAGTGTTTTGTGTAGTTAGTCAGTGGGGCAACCGCGCTGTTAATGACGTTCTGACGGGAAGAAACTATTTGTGTGGTGTGAGGTCTTGGTCCCAGCCACAGTAGTAAAGAATAATTGTCAAGGCACAGATTTAAATGGCCGGCAAAATATGCAGCATGTCAAGACCATCGCCTACCCACAGCTAAAACACTTACTTTGCACAAACAGATCTGGCCATGACTCCGCGGACATCCTCCTCAGCCAAACCATCCAGGCACCAGAAAGGAGTCTAGAGACAAGAGGCAGGTCACTGGCTGACAGAAACCTTCCGATGAGGCAAACAATGATTATAAAATTGTATTCATTTGGGAAAAGTTTTTAAATATGTGCATTTGACTTGCAAACCTTTTCTTGGAAGTCTCCACTCGGATGGAAGGATTTTCCTCTGAGAGCGAGCAAGGCCTTAATCTCCTGTGAGAATGAGCACATATATAAAAAATAAAATACTCACATACATAATCATGGTATTTTTTTCACAGACTGAGCAGTGCTCCTCGTGTCATCTCCATTTTTAAATCAGTGTGGATCCGAGTGAGATAATTAAGATGCTACAGGATCACAGTACAGTGCACATCTTATTCTTTATAGGCATATAGATACATAGGCCATTTCATATCTGTGAACGTAAGCATGCCACGTGTCCGAGTGTATTTCCTGTTGTGAATGCAATCAGCTGACGGGATGTAAACATGGACACAGACCGTTGCCTAGCAATCCAAATTCGTCGAAACAGTCTATAACGCATTTATAATGTATGTCCATAGGTCAACACGTGCAAACGAGTCCCAATCACGTGGTTACATCTGCGGATGAATACATTCATGATACGAAACGCAGAGTTCCCAGAGGGGGGTACAGAAGGAGAAGTTAGCTATCAATGTGTTATTGTTAATATGTGATTAAACTTTTGGTTAATTCACACGTGAAACCAAAGCCTCAATCAATCCACTCCGGTTTGGCAGTTTGAATTAGCAAGCAGCTAACACAGCGCGCCGCGCGAGGAAGGAGTCTTCTCCTCTAGGAAATTACACAAATTCAGCCAAAATATTCACAGAGAAAGCCAGATAGAAACTGATGGTTCGTGAAGGTTACCGGCAATCTGAAATCCAGATTATCTTGGGCAAGATGCAAGAGATACGTGAGGCATGATCGATTGACGGAGGTCGCCATATTTGTTGCGGATTCAAAATACGTCCGGTGTGAAACTGGGCTGTGAAGTCATTCCGCTCGTGTAGCAAATTACCATAAATGAAAATAAATATTATAATTCACCTTCACGCAATACCTTTTCTTAATTTTTTTAATTTTGCGCATTTTGATACACGCATGCACCCGTATTTCCACTAAATGGTGATCATTTTAGATTTTTATTTATTTTGTGACCTCGTCCAAATATAACTACCTATATTGTTCGTTTGTTTTAACCTATATTGTTCGTTTGTCACCTATTTTTTTCCTCTAAAACTCGCTACTTCGCTCTTTCACGCAAAGATTACGTCCTCTAAAAATCCTCGGCCGTAATCTTCTTTACTTCAGCGGCACCTTGGTGGATCCTCCCCCTCTGACCGCTGACTGGCTGCTCAGATCTCTTTCAACAGGCCATTGGCCGAAGTAGATGTCCATCACAACGGTTTCGCGTTTGGATACAAAACCATCCGCCCTTTTGCTACCGTCAGCAGTGCTACAGGACTGTATTGTCAAGTAGTTCTGCATAGTAAGTGTTAACTTGCTATTGTCACTATGGCACGTTCATGCAGATGAAGTGAAGATCGACTCAGTTTTCTGCATGTAAGTCATCATGTTTAATAATTGTTTATTACAAATGTCGTAGGGTTATGCTGGTTACTTTAAGCGGTGTATTCCCTTCACCAAGCTCAGATTTACTAATATAGTTAAACAAAATTTTCATTTTTTTTAATGAATTTTAAACTTAATAAGTGTTTCAAATTGTGGGCTAAAACAGTCAGTCATCAGTTACAATAGATATGTTTATGAGATATGTACAGAGCTCTACAGCTAAATCAGAAAAAAGTGCACATGCAGGACAGGACAACTATGTTTAGATGAAATATAAAATGTAGCTTGATATTCAGAGACCATTTTAGTTAGTTATTGTTAAGATTATTCAAAATGAAGCAATACAACAGTAAAGGGAAATTATTCAGTGAGAAAAACATTGCATTCCTATGATGTCCTCAATTTAAACAGTGATGGGGACGAACAGCCAGAGTGACATCATGGAAACTGAAGAAGACATTACAGATCCTGCTAAGTTTAGCAATGACACAGCAGCGTGCATGGTTTCTGTGAAAGGCCTGAAGGAAAACTGGCAGAAGTGGTGCGATGAACACCAGGAGTACCAGAAGCACAACCCCTTCAGTCAGGACATCAGACCCAGTGTAACGGTCCCTCAGAGAGGGCACGGCGACTACGGGAGACCACTGCAGGGGTCCGTGACAGCGCAGCGGGGGAAGGATGCTCATACACACATCAGCAGAGAGCTTGAGGAGCTGTGTGATGTGATGAGAAACATCGGACAGCCCGGGGACAGAGAAGGAGATGGAAGCAGCAGCGATGGGAGAGTCGTCACTGTGGAATTCGGGGAACTGTTTGAGCATTATGTGACGATCTCTAATAAACTAGTGGGGATTCTTTTAAGAGCGAGGAAGCAGGGGCTGGTTGACTTTGAGGGGGAGATGTTGTGGCAGGGGAGGGACGACCATACTGTTATCACTCTGTGGCAGTGATCAGAAACATGGGTTAAGGTTTTTAATCCATGTTACTTCAATGCAGCAAACACTGTGGTATTAGGACAGCAGGAGGACTGCACTTATTATTGCACTTAGTTACACGAGGCACTTGTCTTCTTAAAACAGCATCAACTGAATTACTAATCAAAAAAAGTACAAATACATGGAGGAGGTAGTTTGTCAGCTACAATAAGAGGAAATCAGTTAGTGAATATGCAAGTTTTAAAAGCTTTTAATAGCACTCAAAAAGGGCCAAACTATTTGTGCCTGAAATGCAAGTGCATCAGACAAATAATTATAAAGTACTGTTAATAATGGAAATTATGGCAGGAAATGCAAAGCTAAATCTTAAGCAGAAATAAAGAGAAACATTGGTCTCAGGTCAAAACTTAACAATAAACAACATACAAAATATATATAGTTAAACCCTTTATATGTTTTCCAGGGTGGTTTACATGATTTTATTGTCTCGCCAAATTAGGTATTTACAAATTCAGTGAAGGAACGACGGGAAGAGATGTTTTCGGTTGCTGGGATGAATTCTAGGTGGTTAATGAGTCTGAGGCAAAGAGAACACGAGGCTGCCTGTGACAGACAATATGGTGCTATAGGATGAACTTGATCCCAGTTTGCCCGGGTGCTTCAGAGCATTACGAATGTGCGTTGTAGTTTAGGTTACCTTGTTACAGTCGGACACTTTGTTCACCTTCATAACACTGGGATACAGTTACTACTATTAACAGAAGATGTTGCTTCAATGTAACGAGAACTACATTAGTGAACATCATCTGCCAAACTGCTTCTCCCTCCCTCACTGAGAGCAAAACACTCGACTAGATCACGACTCTTTGCTGTCCTTCACATCTTCCTCCGCAAACTAAAGACACACCTCTTCAGACTCTACCTCCACTAAAGACTAACACATTGTAGCACTTAAATTGGATTATTTGATGAAATTGCACTTCTTTCTTGTTTGTATCCTTATGGTTGAATGCACTTATTGTAAGTCATTTTGGATATGTAATGTAATGTGAACTGATGAATAATAAGCACCATAATATCTGCTGCCCCTAAAAGTAATGGGAATGCAAACTAAAGTTTTGTTTAGCCTAAAGAAGTTGATTATTATTTGCAAGTACTGCTTGTCATTTTATAATAAAGAAAGAAAAGTAGCAACATCCGTCTGTTGTGTTACTGTGGGTGCTTTGTGAACAGTAAGCACTGACTGGAGTAGTCAGTTAAGCACATATATAAACAGATATTGGGGCTCACTACATAAGGAACACACCGAGAAGCAGCATATATTATTTATTAAGTTAAATTCATTCTTAAAGTATATTCACTTTCATACTGTAGATTTCTTTCTTTTCATTCTTGGTATAGTGTTGTATCATCTTGCATAAATGTGATCTTCAAGCACCACGTCGTTGGTGTTATTTACCCTGAAGACATTGTATCACATGCAAACACTAACCCACTATATATATATATGTCTGTGCTTGTTGAGCTGATTTATCAAACTTCACTTCATGCGCGTGTCAAAGGATCACGTGTCAGCTTTGTAAATACTTCATAAGGGTTTAACTCTGAGCTTTGACCCACACAATTCCCATCAGGAAGGTGAATCACACGCTATGGGATTTCTGATAAAAGTAATTTGGATTTGGTGGTGGACTTGAGGAAAATACATTAACTTCTTCTTTTAAAATATGAAGAAAAAAAAGTTAGTGTGAGATGTCTGAAGGAGCAAAAAAACAGTTGGCTTCCTTCAAGCCTTCATTTGGCTCTCAGTCGGAAAAGTGGTAATTTGTTGCAAATACGTCCCCGGTTTAAAATGACATCACAGACCACATCTTAATTTGAGGGTGTGGAAGGTGGATGTTTCAGTTCCATCAGCGTCCAATGCTTTAAGAACTTGATCCAAACACGTGATCAGTTTGACTCTTCTTTAGAGTTGAGAAGCTCAATCAGCTGGTCTGCCTGCAAAACATTATAAATGTAAACAAAGTAGAAATGAGACTGACAGCACTTCAGGTTGATCTTTGGTTCAACTTCTGGTTTAATTACTGAACAAATTATCCAGATTTCAGCAATGTACTCCTGTTGGTTTCATACATTAACTCGCCTTTACAGCTTTTAGACTGTAATTCCCTTATGTAATAGGGGTTAGAACCTGGCTTTTAACATACAAAAGGTGTAGGCCAACAAATCACCTGCATATTTATTGGTTTACTACGACTGCTACAGGTTGAGCGGGCTGGGACTGCTAATTTGAGAATGAGAAAAACAACCCGGCTGGTCGCTTGTGAAATAGTGAATTACCAGGTCAAGTCCTTAGATGTTTGAACCCTGGTACCCCCATGAGGGGGTAATTGTACAAAGACAAAACAGAAGAGGACAGTCAACCTCTTTTGTTTTAATTTAGCCCGATGATGCACAATTCAGGGGGTAAGAACAGTTTACTTTACTAACTACTAAATGACATACAATAGCATGTTATGTTTTGTTCTGGAGCACAGAACGTATAATATAAAGAGGGGGTTTACCGTGATGAACCAATAGGAGTTGAGTCTGTAGAAGAGCCGAGACATGAAGCTCATTTGACTGGCAGGTGCCAGGACATGAAGGTGTAGGTGTGTGACAGAGCAGAATGGGGGCCAGTGGAAACCCAACCTGCAAACAAGGGAAAGGGTTTCAGTGCACACTGCTTGAAACCTGGTGGAAACGTGGTAAAAGCGAACTCAGTTTAAGTGCAAATTAGGTCAACAGAGCATCAGATATGCTATCAAAGCTAAACAATCCATCAGTAACGATTACACAGCAGCTTAAAAGATTTTCAATGTCATTTAGACTCTGACCTACTGTTCTCCAGGCTAAAACAGTTCATAGTGTTTATACTGATACGATGATGTCTATTGATAAGTATACTGCTTATTAGTACCGGGCATAACTGAAGATTGCTTGTTTGTTCATCTGTCTGGACAGGCACAGGGTTGATTGCTTTCAAAGCCACAATTTGCCTAGAAATAATGCTTCACTATTTGGTAACAGAAAGACTGACGCTTGGCCTTGAACTTGGGTGACAAAAGCTGTTTTGTTAAAGATGTATTTTTGTATCCAAATTGTAGCACACAGTTCCTGGGCCACTCATTTCTAGTGCGATGGGCTCGGAAATACAAAATAGTAGCTCACCTGATATCAGTAAGATCCGTTATGTTCTTTTTCTGGAGGATCTCCTTCCCCGTGGCGACCATCTGCTTCACTGGGTACGACAACAGAACACGAGTTGCTTTTTAAAACATAATACAATACGCACCAGGCAAAAGAAAATACAAGTTCTAGGCCAAAGGGTTAGTTACCAATTACCAAGTGAAATGGAAGTTTGCAATTTTTCAAAATGCAACCATTTCCAGAGACATCAGTCAGGAAACACGTAGATTAAACGTTACCTAAAGGCACGTGTTCCTTGCCGAGTGATTTACAGTTCCCTACATGTTTGGTTGGAACGACAAGGTAATGATGGGGAGCTCCTGGTTTGATGTCTTGGAAACATGAGATGTCCTCATCCTGCAGCGAAGATACACGAGTCAGCAAATGCAAATGAATGTATCAGCTTCAGGACTGGAAAGGGAGCCGAGTGTGGATAACACGCTTACTTTAATTCAGAACTTCTAGATATTAGTTACACTTTTGTAACAGGTTAGTTACGCCCTATCTCCAGGAATCTCTACACAGCTGTTATTTCCAAACAGGGGTCCCTAACCAGTGTGCGTTTCCTTGCAGTGCAGGAAGTTTGATGAAACAGGACCAATCTAGCACACGATAGACGTGCAACAACAATGAGGCACACGCTGCAATAAAACAGACCGGCATCACACTACAAACTGTAGAGCGAAACGCAACTGTGCTCATTTAACATGCTGCCCAGATAAATGAAATTCGTTAGTCTCAAAGTAACTCAAACATCACTTCCGCCATCTTTACAGCGTCACTTGTTACAGAGCCCGACATTGGTCAGCTGTTTACAAAGGCTAAAGCCAGCTGGCCCTGCGCTCAATACCCTTCAGTCATTGCAGTATTCTCACACAGTGGATGAGCTCTGTGCCCATTTCCTTGTTGACAATTCTGCAGAAAATACATTTCTTCTCGTATCCTTCGCTGCTGGTTTTGGGAACATTGGCCGGAGCCTCGACTGCTGCCATTGTTGTCGGGCGTACAGTCTGTGGAGTGTAAGACCTGCGCAGTCGATCCCAGAGACCGTCCAGCTCACAAGGGGAAACTGTCGATCTGCATCGCAGGATGGGACGACATGTTCCTACAGTCTACGGACAGAACTGCCACCAGGTGGCGATGTGGGTCAACATGTTATTGATTGCTAATTTTCTGGCACAGCGGTCCTGCCTGTATTTTAGTTTAGATGCGTGCTTGATAAAAGCAACAACTAAGCTTAACATTTTTGTTGGTTTAATTGCATAATATTTGTCTCGTTCGTGTTTTGAGTAAAATTTTGAAAATACTTGTTGACCTATTTGAAAGCATCTATAGTTTTTGTGACTGTGGTTCAGTTCATAGGTCCAGTTAAAAAACAGATGCACCGCTCATTGAGGCAGAGTAGTCATGTATTTAAATTGACGAAGAAACATATTTTTTCTTGAAGAAGAAATATATAGTTACTGAGTTTTGAAGCCAAAGAAATAGAAACAGCACTTTGATAATTAGTTTTCTGACGATGTATATATCTGATGATGTATGTAAAGCTACAGCCACCAATTGTGTCATATAGTTTACTTTTTGTCATTTCAGTGTTTTACTCTATTTTTCGTCCGTTTTCGTGACTATTCAATGGGGGAATGTATTCTGTAGTTAACTCTGTGCCTTTTTTGCATATAGCTATGTGCAGTATTATAGAGAAATACAGTAGCATCATTAATTGATTAGTCACACAAATATGATAATTCCAATATAAGTCTTATTTGTATCATGAGGAAAAAAAACAGCCTTTTCAGTAAGAAAATGTCTTCAACCAGGAAAGACAATGTTTAATGTGGTTCAAAAAAACATTGGCAGTGCCAGCACCGCCTGGTGTACAGTCATATACAACAAATAAACAAAAACTGAAACAAACAAACAACAATAACGTTTTCTTAATAATGCCTATTTAAAAGCATAAAAACCTTCCTAAACTAGAAGTGACAGTTGATAACATTTGAGAGCTCTTCCTCAAACAAACTGTATACATAAAATACTAGACGCTATATATAGTGCAATACTTTCAACCTGAGTGGTAAGGTCAGTAGTTTTTTAAATGTTAGAGAACAACATGTACAATTAGAATCTGGATGTGTACTTGCAGGTCCCATAATGTCACAGTGTTTCTACCATGACGTATTTAATTATCGTTTTGTCTGCTCTATAAACAAACATGTATCTTGAATGTACATGGCTGTTGGACAGAAAAAGAAAAATACTTTCCTTAAATCCTGAATGTGCCTACAGTAGTTACAATATGTTTTATTCAACAGTGTTACTGTGAACTTTGTATTGTAATGCTCTTCACAAAACAGGGTTGGAGGGCTTAAAACGCAGTGCTACTGCTGACTAGGCAGTAATTTAGTGCAGCAGGACCCTGAACAACAGGATTTGATTTCACCTCTTTGTCTTTTAAAGGCACAGATCCAACTACCATAAAGGGAAAGTCCAGCACAAGAACCTCCAAAACAGGATTCTGTTACTGGACATGAGCTTATCTGGACCAGGTGCAGAGACAAAACCACACATACCCCTTGAAGTCATAACGCTTTGCAACTTGGGTTAGTGGGTTTTTCCTTTGGCTCGTCTGTTCAAATGTTCCGCCTTCAGTTCTGCACAGTCCAGACTTCGAGGTCTAGTACATTGAAGTCCACCTGGGTGGAGAGGGACTCGTTTTGGAATGTGGGACAGGAGAAGCTTGAGCCGCGGTACAGATCAGCATCCAGCCACAGGCCAAATCCGCCCCTGCAGACGACACAACACAAAAAGACACTTAGGCTTCAAATGCAGTGAACGCTGGTCATTTTTTACGTTCTGATATCTCAGATGTAGTAGTTAAAGTGATTACAATATAGTCCTGCTTTTTTTCTTCTTGACAATGCGAGGCTTAACTGCTGCCATTATCTTGATGAGCATCTCTTTATTTTAGGGGAAATGAATGCGCACATAACTCACCCTCCTCCACCGATCTGCAGAGATTCCCAATTGCCGCTCACAAAGTAGGAGTTCTCGCCGCTCCACCTGTACGCCTGGGAAAATGCCAAATGAAAGACATAAGACCTTTGTACTCAAACTCTGCCGATATACTGGTATTGGTGATAACGTCAAAATGAAAGAAATAAAGTAAATTATGGAAACTTGATATACAAACACGTAGGTTCTTAGAAATTATTTTGTATCAATAAGAAACTCATCTCGTACCTGAAAGTCAGGGTTGAAGCTGAACAGGAAGGTTTCTCCGGTGCCATAGCAGTATTTACTGACTTTGAATGGATCGGAAGAAAAAGCCCCAAACACCTGAAAAGACCGAGACATCGAGTTATGTAACTCACAGATGTACTATTAATCGGGGTTAAACCTTTGTTTACAGAAGCTCCTTGTAGTGTCGCGCTCCAAATGCAAACCTTTTTGTGCATGTCTTTGATGACCAGGAGCACAGGGCAGTCCAGGCCAGCCATATTCCTGTACAGCGTCTTCAGGCTGCTCCCGTGAATGGACGTGCTGTAGACTAGTTGCCATGGATAGCCCCAGGTCTTCGCTGGCATCTGGGCAGCGAGCTGTTGGCAAAAGGAGAAGTTAACCAAGAGTGCTCTGACTGAAAGGGTGTGCACCAAAAACGTCTGTCGATGGAGAAAATCATTGCCGAACCAACTACTTCTTTGGAAATGTGCAATGGCTACTCGTGTTGATTCACAAGTGATTTTCAAAACGTGATTCAATATCTTGAAAAACCAAAGGGGAATAATTGGCACATGCACTATTAATGGCATGCAATTTAAGATTTCTATCAAAAGATGAAAGCAGAGTGTGTTGGTGTACTTGCACACTGACCCGCTCCAGGTGTTGGTCATCCAGCAGCTGGCTCTGGTCGTTCAGGACAGGGAGAGAATCTTCAACCTCCTCCTGGTACTCAGGCTCTTCTTCGTCATAGTACTCTGAGCTACACAAACTCAGGCTGCGCTTAGAGTCCTTCACTGTGATAATCTGTTGGAGGACAAGCCATGTTACTAAATGAAAACGACGTCTACGTTACATACAGCAACCTGTGCTTGAATAACTCATTTAGACTCATTTCAAATTTAATCAGAAAAATATTCTATTTCACCAGCAAATGGTGGTTAATACAGCTTTCATTTCATATTGCTGGATGAAAAGCTGTCTAGCATGTATGGATGAAGGCTCACATTTCTTACCCCCACAGTAAAGTATATTTTACCCGATAAATGCAAAACATCTGTCTAAGCGGTAACATGCAGCATAGCAGTCCTACCTCCACATACGGCTCCATGCAGTCACTGGCAAAATAAAGCACCGTGACATTTTCTGGAAGCAGCTTCATAGTTTCTGATTTCTCTGTCAAGCTCTGCACTCTGCAATGCCACATGTCTGTTTCTCAAAGCGGGAAGCATTCATGCATTTTATATCCCTGAGCTGCTTTCCCTTTCTGCATTGAAATGCTATTGGTTTGAAGTCTGAGTAGAGGGGCGTCTCATTGGTTAACAGCAGTGACTCTGTGGGACTTCTAACAGTTCCGTTTCTCTGTAACAGGAAAGTGAAGAGCTGCTCAGGAAAATGGGGGGGAGTAACGGATAGACTGTCTATATATGGAGAACTGAACTCTGGGAGAACTGCCAAAGCATCTGGGGCCTCAGTTACAGTAAATCTGAACTACTATTGAGATAATTCCACAAATGTTTAAACTGTTTTTATTGCCTTGTCCTGATCTCATCCTGCAGTTGAAGAGCAATAAATGGATGCATGTGTGTGTGTGTGTGTGTGTGTGTGTGTGTGTGTGTGTGTGTGTGTGTGTGTGTGTGTGTGTGTGTTTGTGCATATCCTACCTTCCAGTTTTTATTGGTGGAGTTGACAGAGTTACTGAAGAACCGGTTAATTACCGCCACCTTCCTCTTTACCACAACCAGATAACGGTTCTGATGTTTCTTTTTGACGAGGTAGCAGGGCTGCCGGTACTTCTTGTTGCCCTTTGTGTAGATTGTTGGCGACCACTGTACGAAGAAAGTGGAGAGGTGTTCGACCCTGTCGAAGCAGTAGGAGAATGTTTTTCTAATGTAAATTCATTATAATTATATTATAACAAATAGTTTTAAATGTGAACAGCAAATACCACTATGCAGTTAATATGACACAATGTCTGTTAAGACATTGAAAAAAGAATCTAATGCATAATAACTGTGTTTTTAATTTTAACTGCAGCACAGTAAATACTTTTTTTTAACCTAAAATAAGCCTTTAATGAGCCCGCAACTTTAAAGCATTCATGACAACCTACTTTCAGATAGAAAAAAAGAGGGAAGTGGAGCAACTGCCTTCACATTACTCAATTATGCTTTTAACCGTGCCTGGACACGACTAGCGGGAAAGTGAAGCATTCTCTGAATGTTTCGAGTTTTAACCCTGATGCGCTAAGGATGTCTGAGGACATCCGGAAGCCCCTTTCTGGAGTCTATGTTGGAATCTGCCAACTCCTCTGGTTTTCCAAAAGAGAGCCACCTCTAGGCAATTAATTACTGGAGTACGAACCCATTATTACTCTCGCTGGTGTTTAACCTCTCTTCTTACACCAAATCAGCAACGTGCGTAACTATGAAATTACTTTAACAGTGTTAAACTCCCATATCTTGTTTAACTGTGTTGAAACAAGCAATCCAAAGTACTGTCTGATTGAGCTCAAGATTACATCACCACATTCCAGCACAGTAATGTCTACAGCTCTCCCGTGGTACATTTCACTTACTCGCCGACGCTGTAGACTACTCCCATGGCGGATTGAAGATGAGGTGTGAACTGTAAGAAGAAGGAGAGAGTAGATGGTTTTGGTGTCTCAATGCTGAAGCTGCCTGTCCTCTCTGAATTGCCGCCATCGGCAGCATTTTGTACCGGTGGATCAATTGCTGAGATAACCCCCTTTGACCATAAACCCTCCCTGGACAGCTTTACGTGACCTGGACATATTCCTATGAGGATTTCCCAATGGGGCCTTGAAGCCACAGAAGGGGGACGCATTAACTTGTCTTGCTCAGGGTCTCTGTCCTTAAATCTGGCTCGAGGTTCTCACTGTATCAAGGTAGAGGCTCCGTGACCAAATAAGGTTAAACGCCTGTCTGTCTGTGAGTTTGATTGTCTGTTCTTTGTTCTTCCCGTCTGTGTTAAGATAACTTGTGTCTCTTCCCATTTCAACAGAGGTGAAAACTAAACTAATTACATGAACATGTTTGTAGATTCTGAGGAACTACAGTTGTATCTGCATTTCAGGGAAAAACATTTGCACTTTTAAAGACAGCTACATTCATCTTACTGATACCTCATGCGGTACTGATTACCTTCCATTGTCAGATTTTAAAAACCTTTAGTAACCAAACAAGACACATGCATTGTTTTACAGTGAAATAAAAATCAGCTCGACTTCAATCAAATACATTTAACAGAACATTAGAAACACTTGTCTAAATAACAGAAATCCCAATAATATATCATGCTGTGGGTCTGACACCTTTCTAAAAAATGGTTGCTTTTACCTTTGATACGTAAATGTTAATACTTGCATGCACTGCATTTGTAAGCTAATAGTTGTGGGTGCTTACCTTGGACTGAGCCATGCTGGATGTCCACTGCTGGATGTCTGCTTAAGGCTGAGGCTGTTTGCTGGACCTTCATATTGATGGTACACGCAGGAGAGGGCTATTGATTGTCTCATCTTACTCTTGACAAGAAAGCAAATGTGTGCGTTTTCTCAAATGTAAAATCATACCTTTAAATTTGATTGCAATGCATTTAATTGTAGTATTTCACACTGTAATATTCATTTTTTATTTAAATTATCTCCCCCACTGCATTACGCCACATTAATTTCTCTCTTTCGCCTTTCTTTTTTTTAATTGCTCTTGAACAATACAAAAAGGGAAGTTGTTAACAGCTTATTCCGCTGGTCTAAAATGTCGGTTTCACTGATAGATGCACTCAGAGCACTCTGCAGGTTGATTTGGAAGCTTCCGGGGTTTTGAGAAGATGAGGAATTGTTGAGGATAAACACATTCACACGGGTGTGTTGGATCCATTCAGCCAACACAACTGCTGTTCATGTTCATGCTGTTTGTACCTCTATAGTTTGCTGTATTTACAGGGTTGATCTGACTGCAGGGAAATGACACAGGTGGCTCCACAAACATTGGTGTAATCTATCGTTTGAGGCCCTTATCTTTACAGTCGTCACTGTGTATCAGAATTATTCAATCCATCAAGCCTTTAAATCAAGATTTAATCAAAGCAGCAAACCACAGTGGTACTCCTTGACATCTACACACGAGCAATAGTCAATACAAGCCATTCAGATTTGATCAGTATCTATTGTGGGCTACTATCTTTAGTCATTAACTGGGTAAAACAAATAAACTCACTGGGCCAGTTTATCCGAACATGCTGAGCTGTTAGAGCAGTTATCCTATTGTGTGTCTTCAGTTGTATGACTAAAGCTTTCAAAATACTCTGCTCTATTAAGTCAAGTTCTATTCAGTTAAAGTATTTATCGCCATGTTTCAGAATCTTCAGCCTCTACATCAAAGTTACTGTCATCAAATTGACAGGGCCGTATTTTACTCAATTAAAAATGAGAATGCAGTGCTCAAACAAAGTGTGTTCATGTTCAACTACCAGGTCAGCAGATTACAATGGGGGCACTGTGGGGTCAACAATTAGTCCTGATGCTCTTACACAAGAGAAGTAGAATGGAAGAGATCAATTCTGACACACAAGACAAGATCGATAAGCAAGCACACAGGCTTTATACACACACTTAAAAACATAGATAGAAAAATGCATATGTGCAACACCAGCCGACACGCATGTGCCAACTCTCAAACACGAACACCTCAGCATGCACACGTGTCAGTTCCACTTCATCCCATCTTAAGTCTGTCCGATGCTCTGTGTTGTGAAGACTGCGGGATTTTATTCTAACGACAGTTATGACATGGGTAAATTAAATGTTCACACGGGGAAAAGGTGTGGTAACGAGAGACATTTCTTTTTCTTTCATCTCCTGTCTTTTTAAAATCAGCCCACTGCTTTCCATGACGGTAGAAGTCTGTATGTTGGTTAAAACTGAAAATAACGCCACCTACATGGTTTGCAGTGTTTCCTGTCACCAAAGCAAAATTAAGATTAAAAGAACTATGTGAATAATAATCACATTTTCACAATAGACATATGACAAAACATGCATGCAAAGGGCAGCTATCATACAACCGAGGTGCATGTGTGTTTTGACGATGTGTTATTGGAAAGAAAAAAAAATCAGAACCTGCCAGGCGGCTGCTTTGTCCTAAGCAGAGCTGCGGGAGACCTTCAATGATAGTAGGACGCTTTCAATGAAGAAATACTTTCCCCTTCTGATGTAACTGATTCCACTCCAGCGACTGACCTCATTTGGAGCTGCCAAACAGTAGCATCTCCAAGTGGCCTTCTGCACATCGAAACAAGCAACGTCCCACAGCGCAGATTGGTCCACTGGCTGTCCAGGCAACTCAAATCCCAACCATAAGTTAACAAAGCTGTTGAAAGAATCTTCTTTCTCATTTTATTCAGTAGTTAGTGTTTGTGAAATAATAATTCACACATTTACATACATTCAGATAGAACTGTTTGTACAAGGACTGCTCCAATATTTTTTAAGACTTTATGGAGTTATTTTGCACAACAGTAACACAAAATTACTGAAATAGGTAATGGTCAGTTTAATAACTGCCAAATTCCTGTCCCGATATTTTTGGAATCTAGTCCCAAAGGCTGTGGGACTTCCCAGTGCATAAGCAAACATTCAGACACATCCACACCCACAACATACCTTTGTTATTTCCTTGGCAGGAGGTTGTGGCAGTTAGGGCAGAGCCATTGTTGCTCTAACTCTTCTCCAGTTCTTGTAAATGCTCTCTGCCCCTGCATGCTTCCAGCCAGGCATCGGAAAAATCTTCCACAAGCCAGCATGCTCGTTTCTTTGGGTTCACTACACACGCACACAAACAATCACGCAAACGTTTCTCAGCCTGGAATTCAAATGCATTTGATGATTTGCGAGTTGCAGACGGGTGACTCTGTGCGTGGTGCAAGTATATCAACCTCCAAAACACGCTTTGCACGGTTTGAGATTGTTTTAAAAGGGGGATAATCACTGCTAGAATGCTAATATTAAGGATGTTGCGTAGTTGATAGAAATTGAAGATACTTCATATGTCCATTTGTGCTTTTGCCAGACCGTCCTCTTACCACAAACATTTTGCTGACATTGTTGGCTTGATATACATATAAACATATAAAACATATTTACAACACAACCATCTACATTTTCTGACAGTGAAAATGCTCGTTTTATAATGGGAGCTCATTCCAATGAAATGAACCATGTGGTGCAAATCAAACCAAATTATCTTAAAGGCCCAAAGTTGAACCTCAACATTTTATTCTGAAATGTCTTTTACCAGAGTTCAGCTCAATTGCTTCCTGTCTCTGCAGCTGTAGATCCTTGTAAAGCAAGAATCACTGAAAACTAACCTGCTTTTACGGTAAATAAGGTGATCTGACATTTTTACCACATTTGATGTTTGGTTGAGGAGCTATAGCTATTGCAAGGTTTAAAGAAAGCATGCAAACAGCAGATCTCATGGCTGTTTTGTCAGTGGCTAATAAGTAGGTATATAATGAAAATATGTTAGAAATATCAATC